GGCGAGCCGAGGTAAAGTCAGTAATACTATCCTTCCAATCTGGTACTAGTTTACCGTCCTCTGAGGGTATAGGGCTTAGGTTGGCCTGGGCAGAAGCCCATCCGGGACGCGTGGTAAGAATGCTACTCGTGCCAGATGCAGGTTCATGTTCCACTTGGGGTCTTATTTCTGTCCGTAACCTAGCATTCTAGTGATAAGTTTTATAAGTGAACATTTTTATGTATTCTGATGTTTCCTGTTCTTGTTTCAGTCGTTTATCTGAACAACGTCGCTGCTTCGGAGAGATTTGCCCTAAATAACATCTTCTTTTCAGAATCGTTAACCCCTGCTGTTGCAGAACTCCTGCTTGTTGATGTGAACTCATCGTTGATTCATACTAGACTGATTCACCTCCCTGTACATTTCCCGTGATCATCCTGTTAATCATCGAACAGTTGAAGTACCATTAACGTGCTGCGATGGTGGAAGAGATCTGTCACATTTGTGACGATCGTGCTACTGGTAAACACTACGGTGCCATCAGTTGTGATGGATGTAAAGGTATGGTTTTGCACTTGTGGCAGTTGTCCGGCGCCGTCGGCAAAGTTCCATCTGTTTCAGGATTTTTCCGTCGAAGTATACGAAAACGCCACAATTATGTGTGCCGGTTTAACAAATGCTGTGATGTCACAAAAAGTTAGTTCAATACTCGAAATTTTTTGGTTTTTAGGTACTGTCTACCTGCGGGGAGCAGAGAATGACTATAGTGTGATCACGGCTATTCAACTTAGTCATCGTGCTGGTTTGGCATTTGGGCAACTTGTCGGTGGGAATAGGGACTGGGTTTGGCGTGGTGCACCCGGTTTGCCAGCATAGTTGAAGCGTGGCAAGCCGCAGCTAGTTGTTAGAGACAGCCGGGCAGCGCTGGGCGTTAAGGCGCAGCCCCTGAGACGCCCCGTTAAGAGCGAAAGCGGTGCTCTGATCGTTGTGCTGCGTCTCTCGAGCGAGGATAGTCTTCGGTGAATCCGTGTTCAAAGAAGGAATGCAGAACAAGCAGAAAATAACCGTGCCTCCAGTCTCATCGAAGCCTGATTTCTTGAACCACATAAGGGCCTTTTCTCTCATATGTGCAGTCAACATATCTAAACAATTTCTTGAAACGTGATTGTTCCCGAATAGCGCGACGCATGCCGATCAATGTCGTGCTACAGATAAATGCCTTTGGAGTTTGAATGAAGTCGAAGGGTAATTTTGGCTGGAAACATTCTGCTTTTCAATTGTCATTGCTTCTAAAAATAATTGAGAGTAGAGCTACCAAATTCTTCACTCTTTAGAATCTACATCGCGAAAATATATGTTGGGAGTGAGGGGTGGGATTCGAGGCGTTCTATTTCAATTCAGTGAAAGCTTTTGAACTAAATGTTGATTGCTCTTAAGCACTTTTGTTGCTCAGATCAACTAGTTTCCGTTTTTTATTGTATTTGCTTCCCTTTTAGGCGTAGATAGAACCTAAGGTCCACGGCGTTCATAACCTTCACGACGCAGCGCTCCGGTCGCGGCGATTCGACGATCGATGCGCACGCTTTCAATTGCACCGATCGCGTTGAACGCGCGACCGAAGCGCTGTCGTCGCGAAGTCTGAACGCTGCCTAACGAGCACTACCTCGTTGAGTGGGTGCAGAATAGCAAAGTTTGGGTGTGGCCTAACCTCACCGTCGGGTGCCCTTTTAGGATAAATTCCATCTCACCCCTTTAGGATGAATTTCACATGTCAATGTCGATGTTATGGTGTACGGGACCTTATATGCGTTGACTAATTTCCGATGTATTTTCAGCGATTCAGAATGAACGCAGAATGAACGCGATGCCATCGGTAAGCGACGAAAACCCGAAGTGGAAACTGAAGAGCTGCTCGACGATTTATTAAAGTCTGAAAAACTCTGTCAACAGTTGAGGAGTTCAGTGATCAAAAGCACTGAGCAGGTTTGTTTTTACTCCCTTTCGTCTATTGTAAGTTTAAGTTCGATAGATCCTTCTACAGAAGCATTTTATTGCTTTTCATTGTGCCCAGCTGCGTGTGGTCGCGTGGCGGTTTCGAATGAGCTGACTCTTCGCAGCGGCTTCACACATATCCTTTTGAAGTAACTGTTCAGTTATTAATTTGAAGAAAAAATATGAAAACCAGTCAAAATATGAGAACCAGTCAAGAAGGCCGCTTCCCGCAACGCGATCGCACGTATCTAGATTGCCCGCCAGGCCTCGTATCTGAAACCAGAGTTATCGCAGGTGTCCTACGACTGTGGTAAAGTGAAGTCGTGGCGGATTGAAGACGACCGTCGAGCGACGCTGGACGACGTCGGCAAAAGTATCCATCAACAATTAGTACTACTGGTCGAATGGGCAAAATCACTACCGCAGTTCACCCGCCTCTCAATGGACGACCAGGTAACGGGCGTCTGGCTAATTTAGCGCAAAACCTCTGCTGTGCGCCAGTCAGTGTTCACTCCAGCAGTTCCATCTTTATGGAATTTGTTGGACAAAGCTTGTAGGACAGAGGTGGATGGGGAGGGGGGGGGGGCATGCTACTGTCACTGCATTGTCCCCTCTATTTGAATTTCTGGAGTAACTATGCACATCACTTTCGTAGAGGCTCGACTAATGTAAGAAAAGAGGTGGTGGTGCGCATCATTTAGGGAGAGGTGCGAGGGGGGGGGGGAGAGGCAAGGGTGGTTCGGAAAGTAAGTAGGCAAGTCTGAACCTCACTGGTTTTTTGCTTTCTGCGCTCTCGCGTCGGAATGATGCTTGGACTGAGTAGTTGTGAAAGGATATTAAGCGAGCACTTTCTCAGAAGGAGGACGCAGACGAGCAGAAAATGGTCATTGCCTAGTTTCGCTGGAGGCTGCTCAAGATTATAAATTTGCCAAGACAGGCGATATACAGAGCCCCAAAAACTGCTCATGGAATTGAATATCGGTCCCTTGAATGCACACGAAGCTCCTAGGTGA